ATCTAACAACAATAATCAACCAACAGTTGAACAGAAATACAGTTATGAGTCAACAAACGTTCAAAATTGTTACACTCACGATTTTCAGTTTGTGACTACCGTCCTTTTTCCCCTGCAGTTTTTAAGTATAGACACATACAAATATAAAATTAGATAGGATATACTGTGCTCTTCCCAACGATATTTGTCGGCCCGATCCGAAACGATCTTATCCTGTTGATTGAGATCTACAATATTTGACGAGAGGGCACATTCTCTAAGACCCTGACTCATTTCTCCAGCCTGTGAGTGGAATAGATAGAAGGCCAGTCCTGGTAGTGTAAGCCTCGTGTAATCATATTGGTGTGAGGTCGTGTGGTTAGCTTGACTGGTGCTGAAAAACAAATACAAAACAAACAAAAACACAAAAACAAAAAACTTAGCCACTTCTGTTATTCAGACCTGGGTGTGTCCACTCTGCCTTTTCCTGTTTTCGTGTGATTTCTTTCTTTTTTTTCTTTCCTGTTATTTTTTTTTTCTTTCGTCCTATTTTCTTCCTGTTCTTCCCCTTTACTCATTTCGTATTTTTCTTCTTTTCTTTCTATTCGTCGTTTCTACCTTTTTCTCATATTGGTTTTTTTTTTCTTGGTTTACTTTTTCTATTTTAATTGTCTTTTTTTTCTTTCTTTTCCATCTCTTTTTCTTTTATCGTAATGTTTTTCGCTTCCGTCTTTCCTTCTTCTTTTTTCGCTTCCGTCCTTCCTTCTTCTTTTTTTGCTTCTTGTACTTATTCAACTTCTCCCCCACCAACCCCACCCCCCAATCTATAACACATTCCTTCACTTCTTCTTAGCTTCTATTTTTTTTCTGCCCCCATTGTATTAAACTGAAGAAAGTCCTAGTCATAGTTAGTTGTACAAAAATCGGATATCTGCTGGGATGTTGTATCACTCTCAGACCGGGCAGACAGACAGAGTAGAAGCAGCTCGCGTCAGAAATTATCTAAATACTGTTGACGGAGGGGTAAAACTTCTAGGAGAACAACTTAGAAGCATGGTGTTTTCTTGGAAAAAGTACTTGACCTTCTTATTTTTTTCTTTTGCTCAGCAAACCAAGTATCACAACAGTACTGTGACTTGGCAAATGGCGAGAGGGGGAATTTATGAATGGGAACATAATAATTATGTAGGTAATAGATAGATAGGGAGGTAGAGAGAGAGGGAGGTAGAGAGAGAGGGGAGAGGAAGAGAGAGAGAGTTAGAGAGAGAGAGAGAGGGGGAGAGAGAGAGAGAGAGA